TTCCAACTGAATGTCTTGACCTTTTGGTGTACTGAGGATGTTTTCCTATTGCATGGTATAAAGTTGTCAGATGAATAACCTAGGTGTTCCAATTGAATGGCTTGACCTTTTGGTTCACTAAGGTTGTTTAATAGATACATAAAACTGCAAATTGATTAATTCAAGTATTCCTCTTGAATGACTTGTCCTTCTGGTTTACTTGAGTCAGTCAATTGTTGCACATACCTACTAGCTAATCTAAGAAGTTGTTGTGTTATGGTTTAATATACATCAGACCTACTAGTTAACTTTCCAAACGATTGGAAAAGTTAAATGTTGTAACGTGGCATTTTCAGTACTTAATCAATATAAAACATATGAGATCCCCAAACTGAAAAGTACCTTTCATATTATTGTTTTTACTAGTTTACCTTCGCACTTTATTTACTTAGACTAGTTATCAATCTAAACTCACATCACAAGCTATTTTATGTTCCGCTACTTGAACAACAACTTTATTGTTTTTATTTTAAATTCCAATTATTAAAACTTTGTGGGATCGATCTTGGACTTAAACCGAGAAAACTACTATTTGATCACTTATACTTAGGTGTATTATATAAAATAGGTCGAATCAAGTTTTTGGTGTCGTTGTCGGGGAGTTGCGGTAATTTGAAATTAAATTAATAGAGAAGTTGTTTACTTGTATTATATGTTTATAGAGTGTTTGTTTACTTTTAATTGTTTATGTCTATTCATTCATCAGTAGATTTTGTAAATCAATCATCTCCTTCGTTTTCATCATCTTCATTTACACAAGCATCATTTGAATTAAGTATAGCTCAAAATGTACCTAGGGAGCAAGAGTTGTAATCTTAATTTCTAACGTGTGTTTTGTCACAAAATTGCCAAAGGGGGAGATTGTTAATTTGTAATTGACTAATTTCGTGGAGTCCATTGTAAAATCTCAACCTATTCCATGGTCATGATGCTATCATGTTCACGATCCGAAAATGTCATTGAGGGGAGAAGATCAAGCGCCAAAGCTACATCATTCAACCTCCGTATGCACCTTTGTGCTTTGGACAAATGTAACGCTTAGACACATAAGATGAACCCTTACTTATTTTAACTTAGGTTGATTATGATGAAAATGGAATTATGAAGCAATTCAATTATGATTCCTAGGTGATTTTAAAAGAAAAAAAAAATTCTAAACCATTTTTGTGTTAAAAATAGTTTGAGTCACAATTGGACCCCTTTTTGAGCAACACCCTTTAGTGCTCAAGAGGACAAGTTTTTGCATATTTTTTGCATGATTTTTACATATTTTTTGCTTAAAACATGCTTGTTAGCTTTCGCTAGAGTGGTCTCTTTATGTCTCAGGGAAGAAAATGGTAAAAGACCACGGAATACAACATAGGGTGAGCTCAAGCGGTCTAATGGTTGCTTGAGCGGGGCTTATGGCTGCTTGAGCGATATCTACCTTAGTCATGTTTGAAACATTTTTTTCATTCTAGTGACAACCGCCCTCCTACCAATCGAACGGTTGTTCGCGAATCTGAGTTTTCTTATTTACTAAAACTACCCTTATCTTGGACCTATAAATAGGGAGAGTCTTTCCCACATCTAGTTCAAGCCTCTTGTAAGATTTTGAAAAGAGAAAATTGCCTTTCAACCTTGAGAGCTTCCACCATAACCTATATCCCTAGAATCCAAAAGATACCACTAGTGATTTTATCCATCTTCACAACGTGGAGAAGAAGAACTTGTTGGTTGACAAACTCATTGGTGTGTGCATACCGAGGATTGCTGGCGTGCCTATAATCACTTGGGGCCTAAATAAACCGTGCGAAGGGGAGGTCCTAGTGAAGCTACACTAGACATCGAAGAGGGACTTTCAGGGGAGAGACATAGCAAGGAAATTAGCATCTAAGCATGGTATTGGTTGAGGTTTAAATTTCGAGTACTTGTATGTTGACTTGGAAAGTAGTGGATTAGGATTTGGTGAACCTCCAAGTAGTTACCCTCCAACCTAAATCCAACATTGTCCTCAATGTAAAAATAAATGTCTTAATGCTCAATAAAAATAATAAATAAAGATTAAAGGGATATGAATACCTGGTGCTGTAACAACTCTAAAACCTAAAAATAAAAACTCAACAAACAAAGAAAACTATAAATTGAAACAAACAGAAAGGAAACTAAAATTAAACAAAAAAATAAAATAAAATCTAACTACTATGTACAAATAAAAATAAAATGTCAAACTCAATCCGGCTTAAAATCAGATTTGAATATGCGTCCATTCAATTTTATTGGCTTAAAAATATGGTGTCGAAGTAACTCATTTAATCGACCTATCCACTCATATACCCAATATATCTTTTGAACATGCAAGAAAAGGGAGATATATACATTTTTATGTAAATCTAAAAATGAGATAGCAAATAGATTTTTATCAATTACAACACACAACTCAACTTTTATACCCTCACCAAGATTAAATATATGAATCTCATTACTACTTGTTGATAATAAAAGGTCTTTGGGCTCATTAGCCTCTCGTGGAATAATAATGTCACTTAATTCTTCACTATCAAAAGAATTAATAGATTCATCCTCAATTTGTAGTTTAGGAAAAGAATCACTCTCACAATATTGACTATTGTCAACCTCTTGTTCTTGTTTTAATGTATTGAGCATATCTTTTGTCTCATCAATATCTTGGCTTATTTGGGTATTGAAAGCTTGTTGGCTTTCATTGAAAGCTAGTTCGTTTTGCACAAATTCACAAAAAATGTCTTTGAAAGCTAGTTGGCTTTGCATAAATTCACAAAGAATGTCTTCCAAATTCTTTTCTTGTGGGTCATGGTAAGGTGGATATTGAGGAGGGTCATGTGGTGATGTGGCATATATAGGTAACTGATAATGTTCATTCCCCCAACCAAAATTGGGATAAAAATTTTCAGAACAATGGTCGGAGTGAGGTTGAAAAGAATTAGGTAAGACAATTGTCCCGTCTCTCAAAAATTTTTGAGCAGTTGGAATTAAAGGGCAAACCTCAATGGGATGTCCGGGAAAAATCTTCACACCACATTAAAAAAATAAAATAAATATAAAATAAAAATTATGAATATCTAACCTACGAAAAAATAAAACAAATAAATAACAAATAATAATAATAAAATAAATTAAAAAGGAACGAGATTACCAGATCTGTGATGAATCTCAAATTTGGCAAACCTCAATAGATGGCGGTGTGTTCCTTGTCTTCAAACAATTTCGCTGCAACGACGCCAAAAACTTGGTACAATTTTAGAATTGATCACCCAAGTGCAGGTTGTGCGAAATAATAAATTTCTCAGGAGTCCAAAGTCGAACCACAGAGAATTGAAAAAAACAAGAGACACAAAACAAATAAAAAGCAAACTTGTAAGAACAATTTATTTAAGAGATTGTTGAGCTGAGAAAATATTGATTGGAGTAATTAAAACAATATAATAAAAATACTAGAGCATCAGGTACTCCCTCTCAATTCCATACAATAATGATTAAAAACTTAAATCTTAACTCGAAACAAGAATCAGATGTCGGTTGATTCAAATAACAAATCAAGTAAGAAAATCAAAAGTTATAATCAAAAGATTATTTAGGAACCTGAATAATCATCCAATTATATTATTTTATGAAATAATGATAATTACATCAAGTATGGAATAACCAGTTATTTACTCGTAGGAAAATTCAAGCAATCGATGTACATGGCACAACAACTCAAGGATTTTTACTGAGCAAAAACTTTCCGAACTTCATTGAGAGGTTCTCCCCTAGCTCTAGCTTAACCTTCTAGCCAGACATAACAAACTAAAACTAGAAAAAAAAGATGGGAAAAAGAATTATCATCTAAATCCTAGATGAGAACCCCCATTTATACTAAAAATAAATCCTAAGTATAGGTAGAAGATGTAAGGTTGGCTTGGAAGGAATTCCTTTCCAAAGAGAAGTCTTGTAAGGTTAAATTCGTTGCATAAAATCTTTGGGGGGCAGGTACAAAATCTGTCTAGAGTTCGAGCTTGGATTTCGCATATCTAGAGGATGATTCACAAAATTTTCGTGAAATACACTTTTGTAGCTCTTGGAGTCTTCTATTCAATACCCAAATATCAAGTAAATCGGATATTAGAGTCAAAAGTTATGACCAGAATACTGAAGACGTGTCAAATCCTTATTCTTCTAGGATACTTTGCTAATCCAACTTTAAATGAGTTTTCTTTCATCTTGGACTTTTATAAGAATTAAATTTCTGTCATATCTTCAAGTCTTCTTATCTCAATATTGACTCTTTAATCCTTATCAAATGCGATTCTTCCTCTAGTGATTGATTTACTTGCTTTATCCATTATTACTTTAAATCAACCAATTTGCCTGCAAAATAAACCAAATAACTAGAAAAAGTATCAAACTAAAAAATCAAGGAATTCAACACATTTAATTACAAATAATATGTAATTAACCAATCATTAAATATAATAAAATAGTAATTTTGATGGTTAATCACGGTTCTCTGTAGTTTTTTCCCGAGGAGGGTTTTCTGCGTCGACATATTATTTGTGTCTCATATTGATTATTGTACACACTTGCATTTACTAGCACACACAAGCACTATGTGTTTGATGTTTTGATTGTTTGATATCATATCATCCATAATTGTGTAATTGGGTTTGGAGATTTTGGGTCAACGTAAGATTGATTACAAGTGAATTATTAATTTAATCAATCGTCGTGTGTGTTAAGGCTGTGGCCACTAAAAAAGTTCTCACATTCATTGTTTTATATTTATGAGAAGAGGTAATTATGGTAGACATAAATTTTAATTTTGTATTAATTTGGGCTAAAATTAAAAAATCTATTCACCCCCTCTAGGTATAATGTCTTGGTCTCCACGTGTATAATCATAAGAAAGATCTACATCTAGTTCCCCCTCCCAAAACAATATAGGTGATGGCGATTGTGCAATTATGACTTCTAGAGGTAGAGGAAAAGGTGCAGGTGTGTTGAGTGGTGGCATTGTTGGTGTGAGCAATGGTGGTAGTACAACCTTGGGTGTTGGTGGCACAGCTAGAGGTCCAACTATGAGAGGCAATGATGCAAGTGTGGGTGATTGTTGTAGTGTAGCTTTGAGTGCTTATGGTAGAGGCAAAGGTGCAGTTGTGTTGAGTGGTTGCAGTGTTGGTGTGTTGAGTGGTGGTAGTGCTAATGTAAGCAATGGTAGTAGTGCAGCCTTGTGTGTTGGTAGCCTAGGTTGAGGTGCAATTGTGAGAGTCCGAGGTGTAGATGTGAGTGGTGGTGGCAATGTAGCCATGGGTGTTGGTGGCCGAGGCAAAGGTGCAGCTGTGGGTGGTGGTGCTCCAACCATTTCATGTCTTCTACATAAAAGCATCTCCAACCCTTATCCTTTTCTAAACTAAAATTTAAATTTGGGTAAAAATTTTCTATAATCTGACCCAAACTCATATAAAATCAAAGGGAAGTTCAATTTTTTTTTCAAATCAAGGGAGACTCAAACTTTTACTAAAATCATCAATTGTTAGATTTCATTCTCCTTTAAAAATCTAATGGTCATATTCTACCCTTCTTTAAATTTGGATTTGTCCTCGTTTAAATTTGAGTTTGTACTCCTTTAAATTTGAATTTCTTTATTGTAATGTTTTGTATCAAATCAAGTTTTTTACTTCAATTACTGTTTGCTCAAATTTGAGTAAAAAATTCAGTCAATATTAGAGATGCTCTAAGGTAAGACAAAGGAAGAAGAGGAACATACAAGGGTATTAGGTTGAAGTATGATCATAACTTCTTTTTTTTCACTGAATGGAATCATCTTTTGGCTATAAAGGATGCAATCATATATGGTGACAATAGAGAAATAAATCTTCTCCTCAAGGATTTGCATCCTCATCTTCAAGCTCATGTTCTCAACTGCTTGGCTGCCATTAGGCCTAAATCTTTGAAAAACATGTTAATGTGGAGAGATTATTGGCATATGATATGGACTCCATGTAACTATGTGTGGATTACACCAAGCCCAAAATTTACATTCTTTCCTTTCTCAGACAAAATACAGTTTTCCATTACTTGGCTTCTTTGACTCCACAACCCTAATGGCTACTCTTGCACGACAAAAGCTTTCAAACCTCAAATCAAGTTTTTCACCACCAAATGAGCTAACTGAAATGAATAATAATAATAATACAAACCTATGTGATGGAGAGGATGTATCAGACCTTCTTCCTCCCCCTCTTTTTTCCTTTCTTCTTGCACCATCTTTTGCTAAATGACCAGATATGTTGGAGTAGGTCTTATATTGTGTATAAAAGGGCATTTTGGGCATTTAAATGGTGGAGACCGATGGAAAAGGGTGTTAACGTGACTTTCAAGCGCAGGTTTTCAACTTCAAGACGAAAGGGACTTAAAATCAAACAATTTCAATTTAATTCATGACGTTAGGGTGTTATGTTTAGGGTTTTAAAGGTAAGGAAGGAAATCTATAACGAGATTAAATCTAATGGGGGTCATCTGTGATTGGCTCCAAACTTAATCTTATGTTTCCAAGGAAACGGGCTGACAATTTTTCCTTTAGTCCACCGTAGGGGGGACAAGTCAACATACAAGGTACTAGATATTTTCCTTGAGGTGATTGCTCCTGTTCTTCCCTCCAGCCTATATGCCGATTCTAAACAAGTTCTTCACTCTGTAGGAGTGTTTATAAAAAAAATATACATTTGTCCATGCATTTAGATGCAGCGTGTATGTTTGAAAAGGGCCCCTCACTCTGTAATATTAATTTCCAATCGGACATTGATATAATATTATAAAAAAAATTATATTTGGAAGTTCTTTTGACATTGATATATTGAGAAAGGTTTTTTTTTTTTGTACAATTAAATTCCATTTGAAACAAATGTTTTCGGTACCTAAGGATAACAAATCATGCTTTATAATTTCAACTTATAGGAACTATGCTTGGTGATAAAAATGGCTACATGATTGTTTAAAAATAATAAAAGAACGTGATTAAGGTTAAAAGGAAATATTCCTCCACAGGGTAGCCAACATCAGAGTAACTGATTTTGGAGGGATTTGGAGAGATTAAGACGAGGACGAAAAAAAAAAACGCTCAGAAAGGGCAGTTAACAGTTATTAGAGCCTCCTGTACCTTCCATCCTTCTATCTTCAATTCAAAAGAAATCAACCAAATCGCCATGTAAGCAATAGGGTGTAAGGTAACAATAATACAACATGTACATCCAATCAAATCTATACTAACTTACAATATTTTCTTCCAAAGTTGACCTGCAAAGACTGAAAAAAAAAGGGCCCATGAGGCTGTAATAGCTCCCATAACAAAAAATTGGTCATTTCTGTTGGAGAAGATAACCCAGTAATTCAACTGAGAAAAAAAGAGTCAGCAGCATCTGAAGCTTTGGCACCTTGCAGTGCTTCGGCAATTCTTAGTGCCATTGTGCCTTTGTATGTAGCTAAATCTGCATTCTCCATTAGAAGCTGGGCTCTTTGACGCTTCAAAACAGCAAACTCCTCTGATCTACTTGCTGCAGCTTTAGCTTCTTGGACCTTATTAAAGATATTCTGTTCTTCCTGAGCATCTTGCTTGGTAGCAACAGCTGTAAATTTGTTGAATACTGAGGCTCAATTCTAAAGGATAAACAAAACAAATAATTTCAAGAAATAGATACTTGGGCAAACCTATATAAAACCATATTCCATTATCAACCCGAGAGTGGTTAAATTGCAATTTTTTGTTAAACATCATCCACTCTATGGATTCAAAACCAACCCTAGCCTACCCAAACAAATCATTCTAAAACCTTACCAAAGCAATGCATACAAGCAGAAACACAAACAGATATTGGGCAAATATCCTTTGCATTTGCTGAAATGGTACTATATTATTGTACTTGTAAGTATCCATTCTAGATAATACACTTGTCATTAGGATCGTTACTCAATTTAAAAATATGATGTCATTCCTACACGCAGATAGACCGTTCCAATGATACGAACCCATGATCCCAGGTCACAATTGCACAGCCTTAATGCTACACCAACCAATGCCCACACTAAATCCCAAGAAAATCGTATGCTTTTGTTAAAATCATTCAATTTCAAAATCCACCACCATAGACCCATCACCACCTGCCGTGGACTTTACCACCGCTTCTCATTAGATCGAAAAGGGATTGGCAAGGCTTGAATTGAGGAATGTGAATTTATTTATTTATTTTAAGTAATATTATGAGGGTTTGGTATCCCTTATTCTCTTCGTATTTTCTATTATATTATTTCTTCCTCTTCCGTCCCACATCAACCTCCAAACCCTGTAAATCTATGATCCTTCAAATTCTAGCACATTCGCCCAAACCACATGAAGAGAGAGAGAGAGAGAGAGAGAGAGAGAAATCACTCCTCCCTCAAACTCATTTGTAATCTTTTTTTTTTTTTGGGGTTGGGGTGGGGAGGGAGAGGGGGACTTGAACCCTTGATCTTAAGAAGGCTAAGCTTCTATAAGACAAAGAGTACTATTGGATAAGACTTCGAGGCACTTAAATATCCAACAAGGAAGGATTCTACATCATGACGGTTTAACCCAAAACCTGAAAACCAACACCCCAAACACTTCTCTATTGATTATTCTTTCTCTATATATACATATATGTCATCTACAAGGATAAAAACATCGATTCGAAATGGTCGAAACATCTGAAACGTTTCTGTTTTCAAGGAGACCAAAACAAATTAGTAATGGAATTAAAATTCTAATACTTCGAGGTGGTCCATAATGTTTTGAATGTTTTGTTATATTTCAATGCTTTTGCACAATTATTTTGAAATGTTTCAAGGTATTTCAAGATCTTTTGGTATATTTTAATCATTCTTTTGAAAAATATGCTTCAATTTTTTATTTTTTTTTATTCTGTGTTCGAAACGGGTCAAAACGTTTCTAAAACATGTCGAAACGTTTCTGTTTCCTAAGTAATCGAAACAATGCACTGAAACAAATTTTAATGCTTGGTTATCTATCTAATATTTCAGCTAACAATTTGAATTGCACATTTATAAAAGCAAAACTGGTGAGACTAATTCAATCTTCATTAAATTTCATCTAACGGAACAAAATTCATTCCAAAATTTTTTGCACAAAAAAAAAAAAAAACATGTTCTCAGCACAACACTCCAATGTTAGACAACTCAACTAACACACTTTTCAATGCCTGACAGTCTAATGTTAACTAGATTGTGGGTTAGTTTGATACTTTACAGACGAGTATGTTGTACAACACTTTCTTAAGTACGTAAATGGGGTAGACTTAGAAAGGTGTTTTAGGTGTCAATTCATTTTGAAACCCTTTTATCTAAAGGGCTTTCACCACTATATAAGATTACATATAATAATACATCCATAAACACACATCTAACGACTATTTATTTTACATTTGTACTCAATTTTCTATTATTTAAAATTATATGTAAATATTTATCCACGCACACATAGTCAATTATGTTTTAATTTACATTTGTGATACATGTTACAAAAGAGAATTGATTAGGGGTTAGTATAACAATTTTTAGCCGATTTGGATCGCAAACCACCCCATTTTTTATCGTATTGTCAAAATTTTAGCGATTTCTAGTAACCTATGAAATACGAACACTCTCAAGAAGGTGACATATATTTTAATTTCGAACACGGTGTCTAATACTTCTTTAGACATTGTCTACTACTAAACAATAAACTTGTATTTACAAGTAATTAACAAAGTTTAAAATTTGACTAATAAGCATATTATATTATGAGAACATATCATTACCAAAACTAAACATGTTAAATTTGTACACAAAGTATAATAATAAAAGCAAAAGATACATAAAAGATTTAGAAAAAAGCAACTGAAAAAATGAGAGTAATCATTTAAATTATATATGTTTGGTACACGTCTACAAAAAAATTGAAGATTATTGACTATTATGATATTAGTCTAAAAATTCACACTAGAAGACTAGTCATTACATTTACTTATCATAAAGTACTAAATTTTTTATGAATGCCATTATCACTATAGTCGTGATAAATTATAATAATTGGACATTTGGCCCAATTTTATATAATAGACACAATTATTTGTTGTGGGTCCCCAACGTGTCCTACTTTTTTAAGAAATATCGTGTCCATGTCTTGTCGTATCTATGTCTCATGTTCGTGCTTCTTAGTTGATAACTATGATGCAACCTCACTAATCCATACTTCTCTCTTCTCTATCTCCTACCTCTCTTATTTTCTTTTTGTCCATTTTAATTTTAAATTGCGTAATTACAGAAAAAGAGAAGTGAAAATTAATTGCTATTTAAAATATAAATGTTACATGACCAATGCTCGATTTGAAATATTGTAGTGTGTCTTTAAATACGGGATTATTGCAAGCATTTTAATATGTAATATACACATATATAGACATGTATATATAATTAGCATACATATCAAATGGGCAAATATGTAAAACAAAACCTCTTGTTCCCTTATAGTTAACCAACAAACCCTGGAAGCACGTGTCAAGGTCATTTCAAGAATGCAAGGGGTTTCATTACACTGGTAGTTGTAAATGAGTTGTGTCTGAAACATAGAACACATGTATAATTTTACATAGACTGTAAGCTGCTGTTGACAAATAGTAAAATATTATGAGCCCAATTAATCTCAGTCAAATTATGTATTGTAAGGAAAGGTAATGAAGCAATAGACAGTACAAGTCTCATGTTTTCTTCATAAGCTTTCCTTTCCTGTAAAGTTTATGCATATTCAACCCCGGTACAGCATTAAGAAAAACCAAGGCAAGTTACAAACTTACAAAAAAACACACTCACCTTGAAAGAAAGTTCTTTGTTTTCCCCTTGCAACTTGGCTTGCTTGCCTTTTGAATGATCTTTTCTTCCGCAGAATGGATTTTGGGATCAGTTGAGTTCTCCTCGGCAAGGTAACACTGTCAGGAAAGATCATTTATGTTCTTGAGATAGCCAACTTGATAGGGCAGCTAGAGACAGACCATGAACTGAAATTTTCATAGTACATACGCCAAACAAAATGAAAGGTACACTGAGGCCTTCTGTTACTGGGTAACATTATAACTTTGGCAAAGCAGGTTCAGCATTCAGAAATCAGAACTTATTGGCCGAATTAAATATGTAATTAAAAAGATGCTAGTTCACTGGATTTTAAGAAGCCTGAGAAATTAACAAGGCATGCAATCATATCATTCACTCCCTTAAATTGACTGATATGACACATGGAGTTGCCTTATGGGTTTATCGCATGCTTTTAACATAATGTGTAAACTCTTCAACAACCTTTCACCCAAACTACAACTATTAAGGCTCTGTCGGTTTAGCAGTGATAATATATAATAAAATTAAACAGAAACTAGAGGAAGGAATCTCTCAAATCCAAGGAATTTTCTATCTTATTTCTAGATTTTGATTTAGCACACAAATAACAAAATAGGGGCCTCACAGCTCTGCACGCAATCTTTACTCAACATATTCACTCACAATACAGTACAAAGTAATTCAGTTTCCATCAGGGCAGTGTATATTCCACAGCAAGAATGTAAAATGCAGAAAAACTTCCACAGGCTTTTCTGCATTTTACATGAACAGTATATGAATCACCTCTTCAAGAATTAGGAAAAACAACTTGCTCTTGTTTAGTTGGTTCGTTTTTCTTCAATATAGATAGAAAAGCAAACCTCTGGAAGGAAGGAAGAGGATTCCTACCAAAAGGAGGATATACAAGTAAAACATCTGAATTCCTCCACCATGCAGCATAACTGGTTTGATTAAAACCACACCCCTTAAGTTGGATTTTCTGGGACAATTCCGAATAGTTTTATGGATGCAAAAGCAAAGTATTCATGCTTGCACAAACCTAATTTGAGGGAGAGATGCATTTCATTTGCATGAGTGCGTCAGAGTGAAATTGCAGACACAGTTTGCCCAAGAAACCTGATGCCCATTGGTTCTTGGAAAGTTCATTTTTCAACAGGAGAAGATTGTGAAGGCTCTTTTGATTGATGGAAAATGCATAGCTGCCCTCTTTGTTTCTCCTTTTAATCATCTTCTCTTCTGATAGTAAATTATTCTTATATACGAGTGAAGCCTCTCTACACAAACCCCAGTTTTTATGCTATACCACCCCATGTTTTCTTTCCCCCCCCCACCCCCCGGGGCCTACCAAAAGTAACAAAACAGTTTTCAAAGAAAAATGGAAAAGAAGCAAGAGTTTGTTGTTAATGAAAAACGCTTCTCCAAATTGGATAATATCATTTCGATGGCAAATATATTGGCCATCTTATTAAAATACTATAGCGACCAATCAGAATACAGAGAGAAGAAAAAAACACAGAATAAAGGAAACATGGATACCCAATTTACAAACATGATATTGCTTTAAATGTAAAGATGATCTACAGCGATAAATGGAAAGATCAGTATCTATACAATAACATAACTTCAAGACATTGTGAGAACATACTCCTAATCCATAAAAAAATTAATGTCAAACTAGAGAGATATTTTGCCAGTACATAATGACAATTTTGAAGCAAGACGCATTTACCTGGAATATTCTCACCAGTGCTGAACGTTTCTGCTTACGTTTTTTCATCCAATAACCATGTACAGCTTGTAAAACTTCCCTTCTTTCTAGATCTAGACAATGATTTGTAGCTATTTTCTCATCAGAGTAATCATCTGGACCGCAATAGAAACCTTTCTCAAATGCATCAATTATTAACTCGAAATTCTCAGCCAGGAGTTTCTCATGCAGCTCGTTCTCTGCACAAGCATTATTAAACTTGTCTAGCCAATTTTCATCATCAGAGTCCATGTCATAATTTGCCATCCTCCTTGTCAATGCTCTACTGACCTCATCATCATTTACAG